GAGCATATTTTAGCAACTTCACCAACTGCTCTGCATCTACTTAAGGAAATAGAACCCAACTGGGGAACTGAAACTTTTGCAATAAAGCTGACCATTTGAAAATATATCAGTACATAACACTGTACTTGTTTCCTCCCATACCAGAGTTTCAAAGGCTCTTTAGCATCTATTCCTTTTGCTATTACCACTACAACCTTCTGCAGCTTTACTGACAGGATGACTGTCCATGTTTTTCATCAGTCTCAGGTGTTTCTGTATTAAATCTCCAATGTCAACAGGTGCAGGTTTCTGGTCCTACAGGGCCTGACATCGTCCCCAAAAGGCACAAAGTACCTCAGTGTTTCTTACCCTCCACTTCTGCAGCTGGCAGGGTTTTCTCAGTCATTTTCATTCACATAACACAAAACCAAACCTGCCAATTCAACCACAGTAACCACAGTTTTTGCTTTTTTTCCCTGAAGGGTCACACTGGCTTTTACATCCTTTCTCCAGCGCTCTCATTTCCCAGTAGGATACACAGACACTCTCTGTCTCTCTGTTCCCACCCATGCCCACCCTGTGCAGAGCTGGCCCCGCAGTTTGAGGAAGCTCAGAACTGAACGGAGAATTCCTAAGAGATTTTTCATTAAAATCCACATTTCTAAAACTAAACTTTATATCACATTAGAGTTTTTCCTTCCCAGTTCAAGCTAGAAAATCATGTAAGTGTATGAACATGAACTGCTAGTCAGTCTGAAGTCTGTTTTACACAGCCTCTGTGGCTATTATGAATCATCCCTCTGCTTTTATTTCACTATTTAATGTCTTTTTATACCATAAATTTTTACTATATCCACCCAGCTATTAAACCATAACAACCTAAATTCGCTATGTCAATAGGACCATTTGTGCCTCTACTTGCTAGTGAATCAACATATGGCGATCTGGCTCCTTGACACCCAATCTACCTTTCTCAATACCTAATCAGTGCACCTACATCAACCCCTCAAGCCTATTAATAATTCTTATTTAAACTACTGGCAAGTTTACTGTTTCAGTAACCCTCTGAGCTGAACACTAGTAGAGCCACATCAGAGTATTAGAGGGACTGTTCCTTTCCTCCTTTCTTTAGGATACTCTGCAAGTAAATTTGATTTGCTTTGACTTTCTGCTCTGTAATGCCTTTTCCAAAACCATGTCTACCTTGCCCTGTGCTGTAATCCCATTATTTTCTTTGTGCCAAGTCATTTGTTTCCAAAATGGTCTCTTTTCTGGGAATAAGCAACTCCATTTATTTTCCTCAGATACAGCCGCATTTTTTTCTAAGCTGAATCTTGTTTCAAATATTTCTGAGTGTTTTGAATCTCTCTTTGTGGTTCACTATTTCTCTGGGCTCCAGACTCTGTGAAACAGAGCTCAGTTCCCCATCTAACAACCCTGACATGGCTGTTATTCCCCTTTAAAGAGGATTCATTGGATGACACCAGGGAGGATATAAATATCAGCACATCCCAGCACTGTTCTCAGAAAAGGTGCTGATGCCCTGCTTGTTTCTGAGACGTACTTCAAGCTGACTTTTTAGATCCTCCGTGGATTTTGCCATTTGGGATGACCAATGTAATGCAGTGCTCGCTTTATCATCCGTGTTTCCTGCAGGGTAAAACTTTCAGGCACCTTCAGATCAGCAGTATCTAGGCCACTACATAAAAACAGCCTGAATTTGAAAGGCATGATGTGCTTGCAGCACCCATTCAAATATCTAAAAATTAAGCCAGTTTTACCGTCACTAATGCCGGATTATACATTACCATGTAGTCTCAGGGACAGGCAAGACAAACTGGCAGTGCCCTTTGGCACTGTTCTCTATTCTTCTGCTCAGGAAGGAAACAGCATGTACTCACTCACACCTTTCATTGCATCTCTTTCTTTGCCCTCTCTTTGCATGGTCTGTGCCTCAGCAATGGCGTTGGAGTGTTCCACTGCAACATCCTGATGCACAGGAGTTGTCCAAGACCTGTAGAAACTGCAGAAAAAACATCCTTTGCCGTATCTTATTTAGACACTAGAGGGACTTGCTCCTCCCAGGGGGTCCAGCCTACTTGTACTGTGTTCCTGAACTCTTCCTGTGGTCACTTGCTGAAGTGAATCGTCTCAATTGCTTCCTGTGACCTAAGAGGTCAATGGGGAAAGGTTTTAAGCAGAAAAAGGGTAAATTTAGATTATATATTAGGAAGAAATTCTTTACTGTGAGGGTGGTGAGGCACTGGAAGTGTTCAAGGCCAGATGGCATGGTGCTTTGAGCAACCTGGTCTAGCGGAAGGGGTCCTTGCCCATGGTCTTTCAGGTCCTTTACAACCCCAACCGTTCTGTCATTCTTAATCTGGCCAAGCTCCTGAGCCACAATCAGCTCTGTGGATGACTCATTGGGTAAGGCTATACAACCAAGGGAGTTGACTGCAGGTTTCTCCCTGCCAAACCAGATCCCAACACCATATAAGCCACAGAAGCAATAAGAGTCAAGGACCCAAAGGTTCCAGGCAGATTTTCTGCAGTCTCTGCTGAAGTCCACAGTGCTCAGGTATCTCTGCCACCAGCACTCATAGCTTAGACATGGTGATATACTCTGTCAAAAGCTGTTACAAGCCTCCACGTGTAGAAATTAAGAATCAGGCTCTGACTTCCCACCCAAGGTCTCACTTATGTAAGTACAAAGGCTCAATAAAGCCTTTGCATTTAGACTTTATTCACTGGAAGCACTCAACCATTGGCATAAGTGCATCATAAAATAGACAAAGAGCTATAATTTGTACCAATGGAGCTTAGCATTTCCTGGAGTTGTTGAGGCAGACTTCCATCATAGGCAATATCTTAAGATGTGCAAATAGGTGGCTGATAGGGTTTTTCTGCAGAATTTCCCACCTTAGACCTCTCCTTTGTGCTGCCTGTAAGAACTCCAGCCCACATTTGCAGATCAGCAGTATCTAGGCTACTAAATAAGAAAAAAGCCTGAATTTGAAAGGCATGATGTGCTTGCAGCACTCATTCAAATGCCTAAAAATTAAGCCAGTTTTACCAAGGCAGTTTTGAATTTTAGCCACTGATTTCAGTCATGTAGGTTTCCAATCCAGTGCTCCCAGCCTCTCCGTTCCTTGGAGGAATTTCATGTTTCCACACTTCTGAAGGACTTCAGGCCCCTAATCTGAATAACTGTCTCTGCAACCTAACCCACACCCTTCAAAGCCCTCAAAGACGAGCTCCTTCTTTGCAAGTCCTGTCCATCAACACAGAATCATAGGATGATTAAAGTTGTAAAAGACCTCTAAGATCAAGTCCAACCATTAGTAGCAGTAAAAACCTGTGTGTAGGGGTGTCAGCATGAAAGGCATTGTTGAATACGCCGGTTTTCTTCAAAACACTGATAAATACCTCAAGTTGAGCACAGCCTGCTGTTTGTCTAGTCCTGAATTGGACAGAGGCTGCTAACTGACATTATCAAACCTCCCAGTTTCCACTCACCCTTCTGTTTCTGTGGGGCTTTACAAGGGAAAAACCTTGTTCTCTCAGACTTTGCACAATGTCCTTGGTCTCATCCCAAAATAAATAATTTCTGCTTGACAAAACTAGCTGAAATATAGCAGAAACTTGGTGAAGGGAGAGACGCCAAGCAGAGATCTGCATTATTTTGGGGGTTGTTTTTTAATTGCACTTAGAATTACAAATATGAAGCTCATGCAAAGCTAGCCTGCCTTTCCTCCTTCCTTTCCTGCAAGGGGCTGTCAGGTCTGCTGGGCTGGATCTGCTGTCCTGAGCAGTCCTGGCTGAGGCTCCCGGAGGAGCAGAGCTTGCTGCCTGGAGAGTTGGTGGGCAGCTCGCCTGCTGCAAACGCATTTCTCTGCTGCTCGCCTTTGGTCCGGAGAGCTGCAGAATTTTTCTCCTCTTATGTAATGGTCTGCTGGTATCTTTGCTCGGAAAACCTCTTTTTCAGCTGGAGGGTGTCAGGAGCCGTGTCCTACCTCTCCTGGGTCACTGCTGAGAGAGCAGCTGGCCGGGGGAGATGTGCCAGGGCGTGGGGCAGCAGAAGGGAGTAGCTCCCCTCCCCTTCCTCCTCTTGTCCCCAGCCTTTCCCTGGGTCACCCTCCTCCTCGTAGGAGCACGGGGCAGCTCCGCCTGGGCGACCACGGGCAGCAAATGGGGGAAAAGGGGAGAGGGGAAATCTGTTCTGGAGTGGTGTGTGTCGAGTGTCCCCCCGCCCCGAGAGCCACAGCGCGACTGGGGCAGAGCCGAGCGCGACGGGGGGATGCGGTGGGACATGGGGAGGAGAGCGGAGCGCGGCGAGGGGATGCAGCAGCCGCGGGACCGGGGGATGAAGAGGGGAGTGCAGCGAGGGGACGCAGCAGCCGCGGGACCGGGGAACGAGAGAGGAGCGCGGCGGCAGCTGCTGCTTCTGCTGCTGCGGGAAAGCGGTTCGCCAAGTCTCCGAGCCGGAGCTCTCCCTTCTCCGGCAGCCGGCGGGGATGGGGAGGAGGGGGCGAGGGAGGGGCGCGGTGGGGTCGGGGGACGTCAAAATGCAGCATCATCCTCCTGCCCCGGCAAATTCCGTACGTGTATGTGTGTGTGCGTGGAGGGGAGAAAGCGAGCAGTGAGGGGGCACTGCCCGCACCGCCCCGGAGCAGCTGGGCCGGGCGCAGGGCTGCGCGGGGCGCGGAGCGGAGCGGGCACTGCGGAGCTCCCGGTGCAACGCCCGAGCCTCGCCGGAGAAAGGGGGGCACCGGGAGGGAGGGGAGGGAGGGGAAGGGGGGCGGCGATGATAGCTGGCTCGGGGGGAGGGAGCAGAGAGAGCGGGGGGGGGGGGAAGAGAAAGAGGGAAAAAAAGCAAGGACCCCCCCGTCCTCCTCCCTCCCCTGCTCGATCCCTTCCACCCCCGGCACACACACACACACCCGCACGCACACACACACCCCATTGATCAATATTTGGCTGTCTTGCTGCAACTTGCTGCAGTCTTTTAAAGGAGTAGTAGAGAGAGAGGGAGAGAGAAAGGGAAACTGGCAGGAAGGGGTAAGGAGCTACACATGTCACATGTGCTTTCTAAGACGGCCAGGAGCATCTGCAGGCTGGATCTGGTGGAGGATGCTGCGGCAGGTGATACACAGAGGGCTCCAGTCGTTTTTCTACAAGCTGGGCTTATTCGTGAGCAGGCATCCGGTGTTTTTCCTCACTGTGCCCGCAGTCCTGACCATCATCTTCGGCTTCAGCCTGCTCAACCGCTTCCAGCCTGACACTGACCTGGAGAGCCTGGTAGCCCCCAGCCACAGCCTGGCCAAGATCGAGAGGAGCTTAGCCAGCAGCCTTTTCTCCCTCGATCAATCCAAAAGCCAACTGTATTCGGACTTGCACACCCCGGGGAGGTATGGCAGGGTGATTCTCCTCTCCAAACCCGGAGGCAATATTTTGCATCAGGCTGATGTGATCCTGCAGATCCACCGAGCCGTGCTGGAAATGAAGGTGAACTACAAAGGCTATAATTATACTTTTTCCCATCTGTGTGTGTTGAGAAATCAGGATAAGAAATGCGTGCTGGATGATATTATTTCAGTGCTAGAGGATCTGAGGCAGGCTGCCCTCTCCAATAAGACAACAGCCAGGGTGCAAGTGAGCTATCCCAACACTAAATTGAAGGTATGCTCTTACTGCATGCTTTTGCCAATTAAAGAGGCAGCACTTCATTTCTTGTCCTAAACAGCAAAGAGGAATATAATCATATCTATCTCTCTCTATGGAAATGTGTGTGATCTGGGCTATCCTTGGGAAGCAGCTGAATCCGGTGCCTTGCTATTGTTCTGGGAGAGGAGGGAGGGTGGGGGACTGGATGCTACTGAAGCAGGAGAAGCAGGGAGCGCGGAGAGCCTGAGCACCGGGAGACCTTGCAGTGCCCTGAAGGTTCAATATACAGAGGAAAAGGGAGAGGAGGTCGGTGGGTGGTTCAGAGCTCGGTTGCACTATCACCTTTTCCAGCCTCACTGTTGTGGTGGGATAATTTATCTTTAGTGTGCCCAGAAAAAGCTTTCCTCAAAGACATAGTGAGCTCCTGTATCTGCCTGCTCCTTCCAGTGCTGTAGGAGCAGCAGGAGGTTTGGGCCAGAAGCGAATTCAGGTGTCCTGCCTTCTTTACCTGCATGCAAAGGAGGGGAGGTGGGATTTTTTTTTTCCTCTTGGTGTGAAAATTATTAACTCCGTCACTGAAGGATGGGCTGGAGTTTTGGGATGGATACCAACAGCTGGAGGCTTCCAGCAAAGTTGAAACAAGGTAAAAGGTGAAAGTAGTTTCAGTTGTTCCAATTAAAAGAATAAACAATGTGGCACAAATTATGTCAGGACTATTTCCCTGGCATAAAAGCTCCCATCTGCTTTGCCTCCCATCTGGAGCAACCCTGCTCACCAGGACTAACCTGCTGTGAGTAAATAAGGTACAAAGTTTGCAGGTGGCTCAGGGAAGAACTTTCTGTGGATTACAGTGTATCTGCATGCTCCCTTGGGCATTGCACCAGAGGCAGGATTTATTTACCAGAGTGTAACAAACTCCCTAGCACGCTATTTAGTCATGGCTCAGGTCATAGGGAGGAGGATACGGTCCTCCTTGTACACCAGAGATCTTTGGGGTTACCTGTCCCTCTTTTTTCAAAGAGTTCCTCAAGAATGAGGGAGGTAGTGCTCTTGCAAGTACCAGCACCAAGATCCTGAAGTCATAATTTGTTTCTTCCTGTTCATTTACAAGAAAAAAAAAAAAAAAAAAAAAAAAAAGTCAGTTTCTGTCCCAAAATCTGAAACAGAGACATACATTGTTTTTACTGGTCTCCTTGCTTCAGTAAAAGGGCCGGGTGGGACAGCTGGGATTTGGTCCTGTGGCTGTAGATGTTACAGTAATTGCTTTGTGCAGAGTTGTGGCTGTTTGAGCTGAGTGTGTGGAAATGAAAAGGTGTCCTTGCTGCTGCTGGAAAGTACTGAGTGCAAGGAGTACTCAGAAAAACAAATTATTCTGGATTAAATATCCCTGAACAAATTTTATCTTCTAGTTGGCTGCAAAGACAATCCCACTATTGCAGAATTAAAGTGCTTCTATTCCATTTTGTTTGTCTTTAAAGTTAAGATTAAGGTAGTTCAGTGGAGAACATTGATAATCTAGACTAACATAATTGTAATGCACTTTTGTACAGAAATTGTCATCCCACTCTCTCAATCCAGATTAATTTTTTTCTGTAGAGAAACACTAACTGAGCTTGGCAAAACTAGGATGGGGTCACCTGCAATGTGTTTTTTTACTAGAATAGTGCCTACAGCTCCTCCTTTTTTAAAGATAAAGGCAAAGGACAAGATATGTGATCTAGATTAGTGACCTATTGGAATAAAAGTGCTTGGTAGATAATTCACACAGAGAGAAAGGTTTTCCCAAAGCATAGATGTCTGACTCTAAGCACTGCAAAATACCAGCCCAGCACCTTCAAACCCCCAAGTAGTTGTTGTATATCATCATCTGGATGAAGGAATAAATGCTCTTATTAAGTATCTCAGTTTAAAGTTGGACAGAACAGGCAGCTTTCTACCCACTTTCCAGTGAAAGAACATAAAGCCACCAAAATCTGTGACTGCGTTTCAGAGAAAAGTCAGCAATTACAACCCATTTCTGTGGAAAAGGAGAGTTCCTGCTTTTACTGAGAAAAAGAAATACACTTTGCCACAATTTTTTGTCTTCAGGTACGGTAAGAACTTTTTTGTGGAACTGTGGTCAGTCCTGAACTTGCGCTGGTCTTCAGCGATGGTGTGTCCACAGAGACTCACCTCCTCTGGTCTCTTTTGCTCCAGCTGCTTGGAATAAATTACTATTTTGTATAGATTAATTCTCTAGGTCATCCCCGTCATCTCTGTTGTCCCATCTATCAAGGGTTAGGAAGGTGTGTGCTCTCCTTCAAGCCATGAACAAAGTCTTGGGTTAACTGAGGCTCACGGGCTATTTACCGACCTCCCTCTCTTTGCACCTCTGAGCAAAAGCTGTGGAAATCCAGGCCTGTGTTGCTTGTTCTGAGGTGTCCAGTTGTGCTTAACCAGAAATATCTCAGATGCTGCACCCACTAGGGTAGATCAGTTTCTGGGTGTTCAGCGGGGGGAAACAACCCCTGTGGCTGTATCTGTGAGAGTTTTTATTTCTTCACTCTTGAGTTGTGACATGAAGGAGCAGTTGTGGCTAAACCTCATGGGACTGCAAATGAGAGGGCCAAATCTGCCTGCTCTTATTCAGTGTGGACCAGAGCTCATCACATTCACCAGTCCATGCCCTTGGGATTCTTCTCAGCTAAACTTTTCTGCATCACTAAGACCCACCAGACCTTCTAGGTTGCCTCATTTTCCCAAAGGTCACGTTGGTTGATTAATACTGGTAGATTTTGCTGTCCTTTTCTTTTAATAATGGCCTCAGACTGAACAAAATTCTTCTAAGAACAATATGGGGATTTACAAAGCATGAAGGTGCCCCAGATGTGTTTAGTCTGCAGCTGACATGAGTCAAGTGTCAAACTGTACTGGTTTGAGAACCACAGTGACAATGTTGAGCTGCACCAACCTCACTCCTGCTCCATGTGGGAGCTGTTAAAACACTTTGTGGTTTTTCATTTCCCCCAAGCCTTGTGAGCAGCTCTCACTTTGTCCTTCTTCCCATCTCCTGATGGAGGCCAAATTCATTCAGTTCTCTGAGGTGAGGCTGGTTGAAAGCTGACTGAGAGTGAGTTCTTGACAGATCTCCCATGGGAACTTTGTGGGAGCCGTCTGAGCAAGTTTAAGCAAACTGCTCTAGTTTTGAAACAGCTCTTATTGGATTGCAAAATCTGATGAAACTGCTCGACTTTTGCTGAGGAAATCTGTAAGTGGAGGGTGATGTTTGTTTAACCATTACTCGCTGTATGTTGAAAGAGGTTGTAGCCCTGAATACTTCTATCTTCACTGCCCTTCTGTGAGTCAGGAAGCCTTGGTCTTTCCACTTGCCGGAGAAGGAGCAGAGACAAGGCACTCACATTCAGAGCACAGACTGCAGCATGGTTTCCAACTCCTGAGATGGGTTTAAAATCCACTCTGGCAACACAGGGGTCATTGTAGACTAGCTTGGGTGAACTAGGCTACAGAAAAATGCCGGCTCCCATTGCTTCGGGGACAGTATCTAGCCTGTTCACGGTTATTGCTACGCTGCAGTCTGCAGCCCAGTCAGAGAGTGACTTACCCAAGGTCATGCAGATAGACCGTGGTGGAGCAGGAAAACAAAGCTGGATGTATGAAGTCTTGATGAAGACTTTTGAGATACGTCCTGGAGAAAGATTCCTCATGCTTTCCTCACTCCAGGACATAGAAATGGTGCTCCTGTGCTTGGGGTCTGGATTGTGCCCTAACTGCATAGATTGAGCAAATCTACACTGACCATCGGTCATCAAACTGTTAAATCTCAAGTTTTGTCAAAACCTGGCATTATTTTTGTCAGTTGAGACCTCCAGGAGAGTGCCTGGATGTGACTTGAGGGACAGCAAGGGAAAAGGTTCACTTCTAGCTGGTATATCTACTCTGTCCTCGGCATAACAGTGTGCAGTGTTCTTAGAAGTGGACACATTGTGCCCTTGGACCCAGTATGGGGGCCAAAGTGTGGTCTGAGACACAGTTTATTCATTGGTATAGACAGAATTATTGATTACATGGGGATTACTTCTTGTGTAGAGTCAAATATGAGGGAAGAGATTGTTTTTTGACCCTAATTTGTTAATAACCCCAGATAATTTGCTGTCCTATTCCGGAAAAATAAAAGAAAAAAAATTAAAAAATAATAAAAATTATTTCTGAACACAGTCCTTACCCAGAGGGGAAAAAAACACGAAAATATTTGTTCTGGTATTTCACCTTTACCATTTCTTTTCATGTTTATTTGCTAGTTTGTCTGAGAAAAGATAGTAACTGAGAACTTGCCTCTCTGAGATCAGAATGAATGATAACTGCTGGTTTAAAGGAATCTATTTCAACAGATTGGTTTCTGTAATACTGCCTTCAATTAATTAAGTATCAGTCATTTATGAACACTATGCTAAACAGCAGCCAATAAACCAGAGATCTCTGTTACCACATTTGTGATAAACACATCAGCTGGATATTGAATCTGTTCTTGCATAAGCAGAAAAGTTACTTGCATTCACTGAACATCTTGAAACCTCTAAGTGTAGATTTGGTCATGTAGATTCTTGTAGATTCTTAGTTTTTCTCACACTAACAGCTGTACTTTTAAACGAGTCTTGCTCCATTTGCATTCGTGGAGTCTTTCCCACTTCTCTAAGATTAATCCCTCCTTAGATGTCCCTGAGGCATGGGCCACCTCCACGAGACAGAGAGGATAGAAAACCAGAGCCCACCTACATCAGAATAGGCATCTGTGCACCAATAATGTCCACAAACTGATTATTCCTTCAGTAAAATCAGTTCAAATATAAGATTAACTCCAAGGAGCAGATGCTTCCTCGGAGACAATGTGGCTCTGTACTCATTTGTGATACCCCCCGCCCCAATCCAAACCTGTGGGTCAGAATCTTGTGAAGTGCTCCGTGGCTGGCAAAAGCTGCTAAGTCAAAGCAAAATAATAAAACACGCAGGGAGAAGAT